AAAAATTTTAGGGGGGGGAATTTCAGCGCCCCTGACTGCACAGTACACTGCAAACCAAGATGTGCACACTCTCACACAAAAATCAAGCAGTATTTTGCGAGTCACTCCTTTTAAACTGGAGCTAGAAACAAGCGCATTGCATTTTTAAAATAAAAATGACTAAGGCTACAAAAAGTATAAGTAGATTAATGAAGTAAAACCAAAAGCCAAAGCGTTGTGACACTTAGTCAGGGCTGTCTAAAAATTTGCTGACTCATTTTCAGAGTTGTCAAGATTTCAGTGAGCAGAACAATTGCTGTGCAGTATACTGGTCACGTGATACATACAAAGACATGGCCACTATACTGCACTACCATTGGTCGGAGTTCTTGTGATATAATAATCATATAATATAATAATAATAATGATTGGAGAAAACCTAAGTTACAATTAGGTTTCTATGGGATATCTTAGTTTTTAGATTGGTTGCGTATTTGCTGATCATGATCTGTTTAAACCTACAATTTATATACAACATTGAATTGTATATTTATGAATTTTCGTATAAATTTAACACAGTTTTATATCATTTTCTCGAGACAGGAACATTAGATATAACTTTCATGGGTCGCAATCCAGAGCTAAAGTGATTATCTTTCAGCTTGGACCCCCTTTCATTTTTCCTTTACAAAATTACAGTCCCTTTAAATTGAGTCTTAAAGTCAACTTCCTATTCCAGAGTTTTCTGGTTCTCACTGGACGTCAGATTATTTGTATCCAAATATGGTAAATATGGTCACCTACTTTCCATATTTTTCATTCACGGTCATACTAAATATTAATAAATTCGAATCTGGACAAATTTCTCTAGTTTATATCTCCGTCAATTTTGGAGCTACAAAAATAGTAGACCACATTTTAGAGTTCCCGTCGCCATCCTAAACAAAGCTATCGGTGCGCGATTATGCAGATATCTTCAGTACTAAACTAAGCTATCGGTGCGCGATTATGCAGATATCTTCAGTACTAAACTGCTATCGGTGCGCGATTATGCAGATATCTTCAGTACTAAACTGTGCAAAGAAATTGTGAGTTTTAATGGAGAGTGGGAAAAGTAGTTTTAGATGTTAACTGCATAAGGTTTAGATGTTAACTGCATAAGGTTTAGATGTTAACTGCATAAGGTTTAGATGTTAACTGCATAAGGTTTAGATGTTAACTGCATAAGGTTTAGATGTTAACTGCATAAGGTTTAGATGTTAACTGCATAAGGTTTAGATGTTGACTGCATAAGGGGGCCGGATACCATTATAATAATGCTCTACACGAAATAGAAGATACAAAGATGATATAGAGGTGTTCACTTAATTCCAATGTTTATTGGGACACCCTGTATCAGCATGGTGTTTGTTAATAAATATTTTGAATCCAGTAGTAAATAATGTTAGAACCCCCCCCCCCCCTTATATCATCTATAATTTTGTTGACGGGTAAAGGGTAGGGGGAATTAAGAGGGGGGGGGGTAGGGTCGGGGAGGAGGGAGACTTCTTCAAATACAAATATTTGTAAATGTCAAGAGCATCTCAGTTAAATATATTCTTTCTTTTTAACGTAGTCTAGCAACACTATACTGACTTTCCCAGTTAACATGGGAATAAACAGACGACTTGAATATCGTCTTTGATTTTAGATAGTTGATTAATGACAAAGCGTGCCTGGAAGAAAGATTGTACAGTTAGAACCAGAAAATAGAACAGAAAAATGACATCGGAGCAATACTCAAGTGTATTTAATGTTTTTAATACTTTTTCTAGTAACTTATTATACTTTTACTATAGACGCTTATTAAATCCCTAATGAAGTATTACACTGCACACAGTGGCGGATATAAGGGGGGTTATTGGGGTTATTTACCCCCCCCTAGAATCCTGGGGGTAAATACCCCCCCCTAGAATCCTGGGGGTANCCCAATTTTTTTTTAAATTATCATATAAAAAAAATTTGCCCCCAATTAAAGAATTTGCCCCCATTTCTTTCAAATTTGTCAATCCCAAATGGGATTGAAAAGGGAATTATATTGACCCCTGTGTAAACATTGTTTACAAGTAAACAAGTTCCTAAATTGTCCTAAAGCATCATTGTAAACTGTAAATAAACGATATCCAAAGTTCTACAATTTCTTAACTTTTTAATATTTTCTGTTCTTCCTTTCTCCGGCTTTCTATCAAGCAAAACAGGAGGAGAAAGTAAAAGCTAAAATGTAAACATCCTAACACTAGATATTGCATCAAAACGTTCTCCAGAGCAATATTGTAAGGTTTTCATTAACATCTATTAATTTAAATCAAATAAATTAGAATTTGCATCTGCTAAGCTAAAATATCCGACGCTTTAGTCTTGTTACCAAGTCGTACAAACTAAAGAATATGATAACATGTTTCTGTTATAATGATATGATGACGATACTAACTTTTCATCCATATTAAACAGTTTAGTAGAAATCAGCTGATATTTTCACTATTTTGTTTATTAAGGCTTTAATGAAGCGGCGTGTTTAATGTTTCACTGTGAAACACTATATAGGACTGAATACTGCATGCTCTATCAGCTATAGTTTCTATCTATCTATCTATCTATCTATCTATCTATCTATCAATCTATCTATTTTTTATCTATCTATCATCTAGCCTGTAATAGGCAAAAGTAAGCGTAAATCAAAAAACACAAATTATAATTGGAAAACAAATTACGGAGATAAATTTTCATAAACCCTGTAAAATCCAATTTTTGAATAAAACTTATTGTTTGAATTATCCCACGCCATCTTACCTAGACAGAAGAAAAGACCGATGATCAATTGTAATAGGAATACAAAGGACTTGAATCTTTGCCACAAACTATAATTCTATGATCCATTTATCTTTAGAACTTAAATACTTCAATCTATGAATTCTGTTACATCAAATAGTCAAATTTGAAATCTCAAAGGTATACTTTATCAGGTTTCAAAAATATAGGGATGAATAAAATAGAGTTTGTGGCCCAAACCCAATTAATTCCTGTTGGGGAAAATATTACTATTTTTATTTCCAAATGAATTGAATTATTCTTACATTTCATAAATATGATTCAGATTTTATGTCTTTTAGAGTTTAAATTGCACCCTGCGACCGACGGGTTTCCTGACGCTCTAGCACCCTCGGACGTGAAGCGATCCGTCTGGAAAGCACATTTTTGGAACAGCAGGAAGTAAAAGGTTAGAAATAGTAGGAAAAAGTATCAAAAGAAAAAGGGGAAAACGTAAAAAGGGGGAGAAGGAAAGAGAGAGAAGGAAAGAGAGAGAAGGAAAAATATGAAAAAATTAAAACTCGGTATAAAACTTATTTGTAATCCTGCTAGCGTACACTTTTTCAGTCAACTTGGGATTCTACTGTATCGCGGATCTGAAGGACTTATCTGGCACTTATCTGGGGCTTATCTGGGACTTATCTGATAAGCTAAAATCTTAAATTACCGGTAAGACTTGGAGGCCTCGTTCGGCTTAAGTAATATAATAATTTGAGAACTGGTGTTCTGAATAGCGCTCCCCGGAGAGGAGTATGATTGAAAACATGAAAGATTTAAGTTTAAAGAGAAATGTAATATGACATAATTGAAAAATGTTACATTGAACTATTGATAAATTGACATTGCATAATACATTAGAAGAGCGGCGTTGTTTCTGAAAAATATAGGCGGATCGCGTGGCATTCAATTTTCAGCAAGAAAAATAAGAATTTCTTAGTCCTTGAAGAATTAAAAGGTACTGTTTTAAATAGGACATGCAACTATTGAAAAGTTTGCTAAGAAGAACTTAAATTTATAGATATATATATTGTTTGTGTCTAATAAACGTCAAAACGGCTGAACCGATCGGGCCCAAATTTTGTGTAGGACAAAAGGGGAAGGTATTTCAAACTATGAACTCTGTTAGATTATATTACTCTTGAAATATAAAAGGTTTAGACAATTAGTTTGCGGCAAAGACTAATTGTTCCTTTCTGTCCAAAAACAATGACCCAAAATAATAATGTTACAATTACAATATCCGTAAACCATTTTGTTAACAATTTTGAAGTGTTTTTTTAACATTCAAAACGCTTCTGGTTGGAAGAAAATATATGATTTTTTTTCACCCTTTTTATATTTCCGGCTTGTGAAATTATATCTGATGAAGCAAGAAGAAGAGTTCTAACAAAATGTAATTAAATGAAATTAAAAGTTCTGGGAAATCTGAGAAAATTAATTTTGTAAGAAATTTAATTGAATTAAGTTTAGTAGGGAGGTTAAATTCAATATTGCTCCTCATCCCTTCCCTTCTCTTGGAGCAAATTGTTATAACAATTGGAAATTATAAAAAATTATATTTTATTACCTCTTATTTAATTACCTTTTTAATAACTTTACTAAACTTTCATAAGGAGAGGGTTATGATTCTGCAATAAGTTTTACTTAGTATATAATTTTGAACTGCGGATCAAAAAGGTGGTAAAAGAAGGAAGGAGGTGTAGGTATGCATTATATTTTTAAAAAAAAGTTTTTTATGTCCAATTTTTTAAAAGGTTTAAATACCCTACTTAAACAAGCCGTCCCCCCCCTCCCCCTCCCCCCGACTTACGCATCTACACAGTTTGTTTTTAATCTTTGTGAAGAAACAATCTCAAGGAATAATAATTGTCTTTTTTTTAAAAAGTGAATATTTAAAAATTATCTTTTTTCCATCTCATAATCTGAGTTCGTTTACCCTTATGTCCATTTGACAGACCAAATTTTTATTTTGAATAATCTTTTTTGTTTGTTTATCTTCTTGTGACTTTTTACTTTAACATTTTTTTTATCGATTTTGATGGTTATTATATCGTTAGAACTGACGTGGTTCAACCCAGACCGAAATATATTTTCAATAAATGTGGAACTAACATCTACTTTTTTACTCTACAGAGGTTTGGTCCAACACCATCACAGAATTTTAAAAGAAGGAAGGAATGTATTCAGAAAAAAATCCGAGTAAATGTGGAGTAAAATAACCATAGCTCAAAATTAATGTCAGAAATATAAATTAGAAGAAAGATTAATATGTCGATTAAGAGAAGTACGAAGGAATGAGTTCTATAAAGTCAGATTAAAAAATGTGTCGGAATTATAAAAGTGAGAGTGAAAAAGGTTGGAATTTTGGATGTTAAAGTTAAAAACGAATGAATTTCGGAAAGTGAGAGCGAAAGATTTTGTAATTGTGAAAGTTAAAGTAAATCGCCTGAATTCTAAGTAATTGCGTTGTATAATAACTATGGCTTCATATGCAATTTATAGCTAAGAGCTACTTGCGAAAAATTTCGGGGCGTATGTAGGAATTGCAACATGGGGGGG